TTCTTCTTTGCAAAATAGTTTTATAATCAGTCAGATGGCATGGTCAGAGTCTAAACATTCATTTTCAAGTCTTACCACCGACTCTAAATTAGATTCAGGTCAGAACTTTGAATGATCTTGTAATGAAAGAACAAGTTACTCCTGGAACGTGATTCCTCACCTCAGCCTCAAACGCTCAGCGCCTCCTAACAGGTTTTCTTCCAATACCGTCCGCATTGAGCTTCATCAACTTCCCATTTCTGGATGTCTGGATTTCCTAAAATACCAGGGACCTCTTTGCTGCTTCTGTGATTAACTCTCTTCTCACCAAGCCTTTCAACAACCACGATTCAATAAACGTTTTTTATGCGCTTTCTGAGGTACCGTATTAGAAAAGGTTGATGGAAAAAAATCAAAGTCCAAGCCTCCAGCATTGAGGTGAGGACTTTCTCCATTTTTCTGAGATGTGTGGTCAATGCTAGTTTGCCGATATAAATTATTAAAACCAAAGAAAAAATGTTCACAGTTTGGCGTATTTTTTTAAGAACATAATTGCTGTGTTCCTTACACTTCACGATGCCGATTTTCTCTGTCAAACATCTGGGGCCTTCACAGAACAACGTTATGTAAACTGAGATTAAATTACACACAGGAGGACCTGTGTGTAAGCAAGCAACCAATTCCTTCTGAGGGGAATTGGTTGCACTGAATTTCTTTTGGGGCTCTCAAAGAAAAAGGGGGGGTGGAGGGAGCAACTGTAATATTTTCATATGGGGGGGGGAATTAAAACCACATTTCTATCCATATCTTGTGCTTCATTGTGCTGGTCTAGCTCATAAAACCTTGATACAATACAAATTAATATTTGGTTGTAAAGTGAGAGAAAGTAGAGAAAGTTATAACAGTATAGGTTTGTTTGTTTTGAACAAATACATTCAATCTGCAAAGAGAAGTAGAGGACGGCTTTACGTTTTACAAGCTAACGAATTTAATTGACACAGATGTGTTTTGTGCTCGAAGGTGCCCGCGTGCTCTTTTTTTTTTTTTTCCGTTTTCCACATAAGAGAGGTGACAGAAACTATGCACAGGAGGGGCCGCTTTACAAACTGAGGCACTTTCATAAGTGCAGGGCGAAACAAACAGGCACACAGGGAACAGAATGCAGTGCTTGGCCCAAAACTCGGCCCATAAATGTCCAAGTCACTTTTTCCATATTCAGCAACTCCTGGTGTCGTACAGAAAAATGCCAGAGTGGGGGAGGGGGTTCGTGACGAGGAAAAGAGGGATGAAGTCGGGGAGAGAGAAAGGGAGGAAGAGGGGGGCAGGAAATAGAACGAGGGGCCGAGTATAAACCAACTTAACAACCCAGGAGTCTTGAGCAATCAGCAATGACATCATGCAGACTAAAGCCAGGTCTGAATGAAGAGCAGAAGACTGGAGAGGAGGCCGATAGGACAGAAAGGGAGGCGAGACAGACGGTGCAGGAAGAGGATGACAGTGCTGCATTTCCACTATGGTGGTTGCAGCAGCCACTGACACGTTCAATTTTGTGGTTTGCACAACTTCACCAAGCCAACCAAAAGCCACAGCATAAACAAATCAAGAATGCAGAAAGATCACCACCACAGCCTGACATGCAGATTATCATCACTGCATAAAATAGAGGAGGAAAATGTTTAAAAATCTCAGTGTATCACATTCTGCTTCTTTCACAATGCTTTCAGACTGTTGTGTTTTATGAACTCCTGAATGTACGCGCGGGGAAGACGCGCGTTAGTGCAAATGTGATGCAAAAACAAATGCATCGGCGCCACGGTAACCAGGAGAGAGAGGCACGGCGGGAGAGAAGAAATCCCAGCGGCGCGGTCCAAAAAAAAAAAAAAAAAGCCAATTCCTTTGGTAGATGGTGTTTTTGACAACTTTAGTCAAAAACACACAACAGACTCAACATGAGCTACAAAGCCGACCCGTGCGAAAGCCAATCAGGGCTCCTGCAAGTTTTTAGAGAGGGCTAAGGAACAAAAACATACGATCTCCGTTCAGCCCCTCCCTACCAGCAAGAAAACAAAAACAGGAAGGTTTTCCACAACATTCAAATGAAAACACATAAACAACCAGATAAGCGACTTCGCTTTTGCATAAAACAAACAAGTGTATTATCTGAAAGACCTGGCAAGAAAAGAAGCAGAGGAAGTGTGGAAGCGATTAAGCAAGCCGGGGTCCAGTCAGCACCAAGCACCAATGCAAAGCCTTGGCCTCGCTCTCAGGGGCTGCGCAGCCCATACAGCAACAAACTGCTCCGGTATTATGTGCAAGTCAAGAGAAACACTGTTATGTATTCCCTGTTCATTTCACAATACGCCATTTATGGTGCTAAAATTGCAGCCCTACAGAGAAAGCTACAGTGGAGAAAACACGAGGCTCAGTCATTTGTGGCGAGCTGGTGAAATTTAAACGCATTACAAATGAGTAACAACCTGTTTAAACTGTAAAAGAGATTTGGTAAATTGATTTAAGAAACACCAAGACACCTTTTTGCTTTCAAACTAAATATTTAGAATTGGGTACTTGAGCAGCAATGGCCGTGTTAGCAGTTTTCCCTGGTGCACTTTTTCCTACCACTCAACTTTCTATGGATATATTTTTAATAGAAAAATCTGTGAACAGCCATTTTCTTTGGGAAATTACCTTTTGTGGCTTCTGTGATTTCAAAAGGCGTCTTGTGGACATCTGTACATAAGACTACTTCCCCATAAACCTAACCCGGACTAAGAGACTATTTGGCGGCTCAGGAAACCTTTGAAGGTGTTTTCAGTTAACTATCCAATTAGAGTGTAACAACACGAGTTTCCAGAAGTTAACGTTTTCGCAGTGTTCTAATTTTCCATCACAGAACTTTGGGGTTTTCATTATCTGTAAGCCATAATCAATAAAATTACAAGAAATAAAGGCTTGGAATATTTCACTCGACATGTGATGAATCTGTATAGATTTTGGTCTTCACTTTCGGAAATGAGTGAGGAAAAATGCTGAACTTTGTGCAGTACCGTGCATTCAGAAAGTATTTGCAGCGCTTCACGTTTTCCACTTTTGTCAATGTGATTTCCTGGTTTTCCGGATGCATTGTTATCTTTATGTTATTCTGCAACTCAAAAATTTGACTGCAACACTTTTACTAGCATATTTAGTCATTTCGGAGGTTATTTGTTTATTAAACTTTTCTATACTAGCATTGTGTGCCTGCAGCAGTTTTGCACCCGTGGCATGTGGGGTGAGGTATGTTATGTTTTCCAAATTTTAAGACGGCATCAAAATGAAAGAGAATTGATGGACCGACACCTTACTGGACACTGCAGCTTCCAGCCTGCCTGGGGCGCTAAGAGCCAAATATTACAACAGTAGAAAGCATGTTGTAAGCTGAATTATAGAAGAGTCCTATCAAAACAAAGAGGATGCAAGCTATTGTTAGACCTCCACTTAAGAAAACTCCTTATTAAATCAAACTAATCAAGGGTAGGATGCAGGTTTGTGGAATACTTTGTAGCCATATGTGTCCATATATGCTGCATGCATCTTAGGTAAATGCTGTTAGGACAAAAACAAGTAGGAGCAGAGATCTGAGCAACACTTGAGCGTCGCTGGTGAGCGAGTCCAAGAAACAATCATTATTGTTTATTTTAAAAAGAAATATTCTTTAAAAACTATGAGGCATGTGTTTAAACTAAGCTTTGTAGGACAGATCTTTTTAGACATAGTGAAAGATTTTTGTTGGATTTTTATTAAAAGTGTTCCTTCTGGGATTGTTAGCTATTAAATTCTTGGCCATTACTCTACTGGCTGCCTAATCACTTGTCTCAAACCAGAGTTTTCTCTGTCACTACTTTAAATGGTGAAAACATCCCATATGTACACTAACAGAAACAAATTTTAGAGGGAATGTAAGAATTACTACAAGCCATTAATAAAGCCAGCCATTCATTCTAGCTGCTAAAAAGAAAGATCAACCGTCAGAGACATTTATTGAAAACATTTGAACAAAATGTTGGGGTGATTCTGGGTCAGAGATTTTCACAAGTTTTAATAATAATTGAGGAAAGTAAAAGATTGCCACAAATTTCCCATTTTAAAACACTGTCTGGATTTTTGATGTACATACATGATTTGGGTAGCAATCGCAAGTTATAAATGAATTCTAATAAGTTTGTTTGTTTGTTTGTTTTTAGATTGTAGTACATTTTTTAACCAAGTGCATAGTTATAGTAAGTAAATGATCGTCAAAACAAATAAAAATAATTCTTAAAAAATAACTCTTCTGAAACACCTAATCTACCAGCCCCAGTAGTTCATCATCATAAACACTACTTAACAAGTTAAAACATGCATTTAAACCACGATTGTCTTTTTATGAAAAAGAAATAGAACAACTAAAGTTAACCTAAACAATATGGATGTACACATAGGTCATATACAAGCTGGAATTAGTTTTGCTGCATTAAAAATGGACTGAATGACAGAAAACTATGTAGTTGTAGCCTGGTGGTGTTTTGCTTAGAATTAGACCGGAGCAGCTCAAAGGAGCTCGGAGCTCTCGGAAACGGGATATTTTTTCCACGCACGCCGCTGTGTGCGTGTCCTGCGTGGAACAGAGGTGCGTCCGGCCAGTGTTAAAAGCTCAGCGGTGAACGCGTTCATTTAACCCGGCTGTGTTCCGACTGTCTCGTTCTCCGGTTCAGAAACAACTCACCAAAAAAAAAAAAGCTACAGGAGCAGACGCAGTGAGTGGAGCTGCAGCGGGGTCATGTAAAGAGACACCCAGTCATCTGCCGCTGCAGCCTCCGAGTCCTTCCCTCTCCCTCCACCTTGTTTGCAACACAGCGGGCCCCCCTCAGATTCCTCCGCTTTTCGGTGTCGTATATAAGAAATAAAGTTGACCGCGTTCTCTTGTCTCCCTTTTTTGCGTTCAGAGCGAAACAACTTTCAGGTATTCATGCGAAAAATGACCCTCATAGCACATCACTCACCTCCTCTGCTCCTCCGGTGGGTTCGCGTACTCCTCGGTGGGCTCTGCTGCTGCCACTGCTGCCTCTTCCTTTCTCCTCCCCTCCGCTTTTTTCCTCCTCCTGGCTTCTTTCCGCTTCTCCTCCCTCCCAGATGCAGCTGATCTCCGGTAGGAGGAACCGAGGGACGCTGCTCCGGAAGTAAACAATCCTACTTTTTCTTTTTAATTATTGACCCTTCACTGACGGAGACGAGGAAATTAATACCTCTGCTGGAGATTATTACAGTGCAGGGTTGCTTTGATTTCAGCAGCAACCTTTAGAAGAAGCTTTAATAAGAAAAACAGAAATAAGACATGTTCACAGTGGAACAGGGCACATACAAAGCTGTACATAAAGACTGCCCTCACAGTATTTGCACATGTAAAAGCTTTGTGTTGTTAACAGTGGCAAGAATTTTATTGGTTCAAATGTGAAGTTAATAAAAAAATATATATCCTATTGTCAGTACAGTCAAAAATAACATTTTTCCACATAAAAGCTTTATTAAATATGAGCAGAAATTAAAGACTGACTTGATTGTCTTTGTCACAGATATTGATATAATTTTCAAGTGTATGAGGGTAAAATAACTTTTTTTTTTTTTTTTTTTTGCCATACTGGCTGATAAAAACAATTCTTTGTTTCTTTGTCTCAAGAAAGTCAGACCAATATGAGGAGACGGAGGTGAGCATGTGATCTCAGGAAGACAATGGTCCTGTGTTGTCTGGTGTCGTCTTTTTGGCAGAGCAGAGGACAGAAGCCAGATTTTTGCTTTCATCGGAGTCCTAAAATGAAGAAAACCGAGTTCTCTGCTTCATGCACCTTCGAGAAGTAAGATGGCCGAGATGGCAATTTTGAAATAATGGGAATGTAATAGTGATGTCAAAACTCTAAATATGTCTCCTTTTGCTTAAACTGATTCACCAAGAAACTTTATTTAACCATTTTTTAAATAATCGTGGCTCAATTTCGCACAGGACTGATTTGTATTCCATACAAAGCACTCCACAAACCTGGTGCCATTTAAAGGGGAATAAACAGATTTCATAAACTGTATTGCCAAGAAATATAATCAACCAAGCACACATTTCTTTACTTTCTTTGCTAAGTATTGTCAACGTAGGACAGGAATATTGGATGAAGCTCTAAAGGTTGCAAAGGCCTCTCTTTTTCTAATAGCACACAAATAGGATGTGGTAAAAGAAGGGAAATGAACATATCCTTCCAAAACAACAAGGCAAAGAGAACAAAACTGTTAATGTGACAATAAATTTAGTGAAAAACAGGAAATGTAAATGCTGTGGAAAAGGATACAGATGTGTTTCCTTTTTAACATGTTACAGCCGCGTGTGATTTATTATGTATCTAAGTATAACTTAAGTATAACAATATCTCTTATGACACAGATGCTTGTTATCTTAAGCTTAAGTATTTTTTTCTAAGAAGTAAACACCTTATCTGAGCTGAGGATTTCACTGAAAAACTATATTCATTGTGATATTACAAGCAATGGAGGTACATTGAAGTCCTTCTTGGATTTCCTTTCAGTTACAGACTGATTTTTTTTAAAAATATTAAAAAATGTTTTCATCCTTGCTTTCTTTTTGTTCGATTTTTAGATGTAAATCTTAAATAAAATCCATTCATGATGGTAAAAAAACAAACAAAACAAAAAAAAAAAAAACATTTTTTGTGATTCTTCCTCACATCAATGAAAGATTTCTGCTGAACGTTTGGGTTTGAAAATACAGACAGGAATAGTGTGGTAGTGTAAGGACCTCTGGTGGTTAAATCAAATTATTACACACATTGTCAGGTTGGATTCATTCTACAGCCCAAATGTAATCACTGACCAAGAGCGTTCTTTTTTAAACAAGAGTTATTTAGTAAATACAGGGTTCATTGTTCTGAGTAAAACAAAGGATGTGTTTTTCCTCTATAAAGTAAGAAAAATAGTTTATTTCTTTCTTTATTTTAATTTTTTAATGTCAGCTGTAATAAAACCATGACTCAAAAACTAATGGGTTATTTATTTAATGCAGTACTTAGTTTATGTTGTCATGAACCGATGGATGGATGGATGGATGGATGGATGGATGGATGGATGGACAGAAAGATGTCATCATCAAATTGTTTTTATTAAAATTAATTAATGAGATAAAAATATAATTCACTTTTTATTCTAACATTTCTATGTAATATTTACATTTGCCTATATTTGCTATATTTTGGTCCACCTTATAATTACTCCGATCCATATGGTGGCGCTGTAGTGACACTTACACGAGTTTTTGACCAATCAGCGTTGTTACGGGAATTTGAACAAGAAGCGGTTGTTGGATGTCTCGATGGAGAGAAGACTCATTCCACACGTAAGAGGTGCTTTTCCTCTTACTTGAATAAGTAATTCTGCTAGAATTTGTTTAAAAACTGCATAAGTGTGTTAATAATTTAATCAGCTCTCAAGTGGAACTTCTTTCTTGTTCTGTAGCAACGTTAGGTGGTTTCACGTCGTTTCTGTTCTATTTTGACAACTTTAGATCCTAAACAGGGCTTTAGCTGAATTTATGTGAAACATGAAGCCATTTGAGCCAATGTTTCTTAAAACCTACGGTAAGCTGAGGCGGAAGGTTTCGGCTTGGATTTCTCCTGAAGACCGAAAGAAGGCTTTCGACAGCACCCCGTCATCTGACGACTTATCTGTGTTTGAGGCCGCAAAACCCCGCAAGGCACGGTGCGTTCAAGGCCTCATCCTGGCTCCAACATTCTCACTATTCATATTTGAAAAGTACAACAGACTAAGTCAAATATCATATACAAAATTAAATGTCTGGACTCGACTTGTGTAATTATGAAGTGTTTAATTACCACCTTTCACGGTGGTAATTATTTTAGTCAATATGTATATCTTTGAGTGCATATTATGACTTAATTCTGCAAACCTGCATAATTCATACTGGAAAATTATGGACTTTCATTTCAGTTAATTTGCATTCAGGTTCCATAAAGTGTCACTTTAGTTTGTCTTTTTTTAAGCTAACTCCTTAGCTTGAAGCTTGCAAGATTCACTTAAAAAAATCAAAGTCAATAGCTCTCAAATGTATTTTTTGTATGAGTTTAATCCAGAATCTCACCTAGAGATTGGGAGCTCACTGATCATCCAGTGAGATTGGACCATAACAGTTTGATAGGAACTTGTAATATTTTTTTGTTGTTTTTTTTTGTTTGTTTGTTTTTGTTTCAACACCTCTGCATTGAACACCCTCTCTTCTCGTGTTTGTAATGTTACAGGGGGAAGTACAAAAGGGATGACGGTCAAAGAGCAGACCGTCCTGCCAAGAAAAAAGCCATGCTGTGCTTGAATGAGAAGAGCTTCAATGAGGAAAACATGAGTGATGAGGAGAACACTCCCCCATCTCCTACTAATCCGGCACCAAGCCAGAAAACACGGTGTGTGAGAAAAATAATCTCAGTTTCATTCTCTTTTCATTGGATATTATTCCCAGTGCCCCCGAAAAGTATTAACACCTGTTAAATTAAACCACATTCTGTCACTTTACAAGTGCAAATGTCAGTGTGTTTTATTAGGATTTCATTTGATAGAATACAAAGTTGGGCTTGTCTGAGTCAAAACTTTTGCTGGAACCACAGCCGTATGTTGTGATATGTCTGCCAGCTTTGCCCATGCTGTTCTGCAAATGTGCTCTTGCTTGGTCAGATGTTGATCCAGAGCGTCTGCAAACATCAATTTTCAAGTGTTACAACTTGAAAATCGGACATTAACTGGAGCGCTTTAACACAAATATTCACTGATCTGAAATATTTCATTGTAGCTCTGACTGTGTGTTTAGGTTTGTTGTCTCACTTCCCCCTCAGTCTCAAGTCTTTTACTGCAATTATCAGTTTTTTTTTTGTTTGTTTTTTTTGGACTTAGCTCTGTCCATCTTCCTGTCAGCTCTGGCCAGCTCGATCATAAAGCTTTCCAGGTCTTAATTTGTCTGAAAATATTACCAAGCCATTTCTTTTTCCTTATTCTTCTAAATGTTTTAGAACTTTGTGTTTCTGTGAACTGTTTTTTTGTGAATTTCCCCTCTGGGGATTAATGAAGTGTATTCTCCCATTCTCTGTCACATAAGATCCCACTAGACCACATTCATGTTTTTCAACCGTTTTTGGTCTAATAATCACAGTATTTGCTGATATAATGTGTTTTTACCTCCTGTTACATAGAGGGAAGAACAGACGTTTGTCCAGTAGTAAGCAGGAGGCCGTTCTGTGTCCGTCGGAGACCAGCAGCTATGGGGAGAGCATCATGAAGCCGCCTTTACCCACAAAGCGTAGAAAAACAACCAGGTCTGTGTTTGAGTCATGTAAATATTTTCTGCTAGCATGCTTTTAAGTTGGTTAGAACAATTTCAGCTCCTTGTACCGTGCCTTAAAAAATTCCCTTAGCCTCGTGAGGTGTTCTGAATTCTGCTTGCCCTGCTGCCTTTCTGACATGATCTGTACTTTATCAGGTCAAAACAAGTAGGATCTGTACCTGTGTTCACAAGACGGAGAGGTCGGGCGGTTTCTACCACCAGTGAGAGTGAGAGCGAAACATCTGTGCCGAAACTGCAAAAAATCCAAGCAAAAGCAAAGATGGACTCCAGGTATGTGGTAAGCTGGTGTCTGGTATTATGAAATGTAAGTTCAACTTTATTTTTTAAAAAATGGGACGATGCCTAATAATGAATACTTGCGTGTAAATATACGAGATTATAACCAGTTTGGCTGATTTCCATAGGCATGTTGATGATAAAGCACATAATAAATATAAATCCAAAACCCACAAATTAACATTACAGAATAAGAATTTCACAAAAGGCACAGAGCAAACACTCTTTGTTTCTCCTCTTCCTTATTCTAGTGTTCGCCTTCCGTCTGCCGGCCGCTTCATAACCCGTCGCAGACGTGCCGCTTCCACCAAACCTCCTGAAGCTGCAGTCAGTTTGCTCAACTCGTCAGATGACTTCACTTCCAGACCATTTGGTTCCAGTGTGAATCAACATGCCTCCAGGAGACATAGGGCCCCTCCAGTGTT